AGAGAGAGAGAGACAGAGAGAGAGAGAGAGAGAGAGAGAGAGAGAGAGAGAGAAAGAGAGACAGAGAGAGGAGAGAGAGAGAGACAGGCAGACACAGAGAGACAGACAGAGACACAGAGAGAGAGACAGAGACAGAGAGAGAGAGCGAGAGAGAGAGAGAGACAGAGACAAAGAGAGAGAGCGAGAGAGACAAAGGGAGAGAGGCAGAGACAGACAGAGAGAGAGAGACTGTTATTTGCTAAATGCTAAATTTGGTAGCAACAGTTATGCACAGCTGTTTGGACCCATAGTTATGTAGATAGGAGACAGATTGACGAATAGATTGACAAATAACAGCGTCTGGCTCCAAGATGATGTGATCCAGAACATATTTTTGCATTCCGTCTCCTGAGTTTTTTTTTATTTTGTCAATGAAGCCGTCAATATTGTCCAATACAGGCGTTTTAGAGGTCATACAGTAGCTATGATTGTGATGCCTTGTGTGATTTTATGTAAGGTATGAAGTCCCAGTCTACATCAAAATAAGTTTCAGTGTCCTCTCAGAGCTCCTCCCATCGGGCCGCCGCTACATAGTAACAACAAAAAATAAGAAAAGATACTTCAACCGGTATAAAACCTTGTTCCTACCCATATCTGTGAACCTCATGGAGCAGAGCGGTGGTGGTTTATGTCTGTCTTATGTGTGAGTCCAAGGCATAATACATTCATTTTGAACTTGAACTTGAAATTTAGTTTTAAATTAAAATGAAAATAATACACACTGTCGAGAGGTCAGAGTCGACCTGGGGTTTTTGGTCAGTGAGAATACAGGTAGTTTTTTGTCATGTTTTACTGCTGCTTTTTCCATATCTCCTGCAGTATTGTGATTATTTGCATCACACCATGAATTCGAAGCAACCCATTTGTTGTCGGACATATTCCTGTATACTTTCACATTGATTAATGACAATTCTGCTTTCATAAGATCGGACCAGACAGAGCGGTGAGGGTCCGTCTCAGCGGGACTCAGGATTAGAGATGTACAGAGACGGGCGGCAAAACAACATCCATCAAACCGCACTTTTCTTTGATAAATAGTATTTCCCTTTTATGACTTGAAATGTTTGGGTAGACAGTACATGAAACATTAAGTCGACGTAGAGGTTTGAAGGGGGCGGAGCTTCATGGTCAGGAAGTAAAATCCACATTTCTATGGCCCCGTATCCGCCGTATCTAGTTGGCTCTACTCCACCTGGTCGTGCTTCCATTACACGTTAGTATCCTACCCAACACAAAGCAGTATCTGGGGAAATTCTTTGAAAACCATGGCTTGCAGCAGCACTCTGGCCAATCACAGTCAGTAAGAACACTTTAGTACCAGCTCCGCCTGGATAGATGGGTATTTTACAGTGTATGCACGGTTTTGACAGCTGCAGCAGCGCTCAGACCTCAAACAGATTTGTCATGTGATTGCAGTTCAGCAGCTGTGCGTTGAGGTGGTTAGAAAAGTGTTTAAAGTGTGTGTGAGGACTTTTACAGCCTTTAAACATACAACGGCTACTTCGCGGTTTTTGCTCATTATTTTTAGAATGTATATAGATGTAATCGACACCATTGAACCAGGGACCTCTGACTTGCAAATGGGTAGCAGTGTTACTTGGATAGAGGAAGCAGTTCTAAGTTACACAACTTTTTGTTAGAACTATACAGTTTTCATCTTTCGGCAACTAACAACAAAGCAAAGATCTGGGTTTGTCTTTGAACAGACTACACGATTTGACCCAGAAATATTGTCTGGTGATAATGAATGACCTAAATACAGCAACGAACACCTCTAATGTTCTACCTATAATGTCTGGCAAATGTCTGGAAACTGTGTGTTTTTGAGGCTCAGGGGAAGAGCAACCATTTGTAATTAGTGTTATGATTAGAAACCATACATTTGGACACAGGTGGGCCATAGACTGTGTGTATGCTTGTAAAAAAGAGCCCTGTGAGTCCCAATTTGACTCTTTTGGCTGAAAGCTGATTGGCTGAGTGAGGGTGGTCATCTCTTTTTCATTTTTCTTTCCAAAAAAACTGATCTAAAGATGTGACAGAGGCCAAAAATACATGCATATAAAAACAACCGACAGAACCAAACTGTTTTTTTTAGAGCAATACATTACTTAAAAGGTTTTGTGATACATAGTTCCATTTTGTTGCAGTTTGAAAGTTACATACACCGGCTTTAAACAACTCACAATGAAATACACGGCCTGAAACAAAGAGAGACTGTAAGTAGATCTTACAGCATGAAGCCAGGAAGGCATCCAGGAGGTATCCCAAACAGATGCCCGAGTCATCTCCACTGGCTTCTCTGCGTGGACCGCTTGTATCCGCCATTTGTGTCTTTTCGGTCATCTTCACCTTCTACAACCGTTCTCTTTGAATCCCGTGATATGAGTCCTAAATAAAGTCTAATAATAAAACATATATATACGTCATCTCTCCTGTCGTCCATCCTCTCCTCTCTTCTCTACTTCCATGAGGGTCCATCATTCATAACTCTATCGTTTACTCTGCTTGCATTATCCTTGTACTATAATCATCAGTCTAAACTCTTCCTCTTTTGTCCTCTGGGACATTAGCTCTTCCTGTAGATGAAATATTCAGATGGTTTCCGCTCAAACCAAACGTCCTGCTCTACATTCTGCCCGGTGCGTAGCATTCTGACAGCCCAGTATTTCACAGCACACTGACCTGTCATCTCTGCAGCTCTCCTCTACACCTGGAGACTGCACTGCTGCCGCTGCTCACAGACACTTCTGCTTCTGATGGAGCGCTTTGATATGGGGAAAGTAATTACACTGCATTGAATTGAATTGAATAGAATTAATGGGGCGATAGTGGCTCAGTTGGTAGAGCAAGCCCACCACGAGACCTACTCCCTGACTCCCACTGATGTCTACTGTTGTTGTGTCCTTGGGCAAGACACTTAACCCCACTTTGCGTGAAGCCCCCGCTGAAAGATCTTAGCTCCTGTGGACTCACCCCCTGCAGGAGGATCAGTGAGGGGCTGGTGCTGTTTGTACTGCAAGACAGGCTTCTACTCTGACAATGACAGGTTTTTTTTTAAAGTTCTGTTTTAGCTGTGTTTTCAACTGAGGGATTAACTCTTTTTAATGTACTGTGATTATTTAGGATTGTAATGCCTTGTGTGATTGTGTTTTGTTAACCATTTTGAGTTGCATTATGCGATACAATTAAACTGGCCTTGCCTTGTCTTATAAAAAGAAAATATGGTATGTGCAGGTTTGAAGACCTTATGCTGGGTTTGATTTATTTAGAAATACAGTTTTAATACCATTTTATATTAGAAGGGAACTACTAAAGGTTTCAAAATCAGTTGGTGTTTTTTTTGTCTGATCCCCCCAAATCGAAATAACCCCATAGCAACGCCCTTAGAGACGAAAAAACTTCACAGCCCTTGGTGACGTCAGAGCGGGTACGTTTCAACGCTGTAAGTTGTTTACAATTTGGTATTCGTTCTTTTTACGCGGATATTCAAGATGACAAGGCCGTGTACAGCGAGTATGAGATTACTACTAGATTGTAATCCTTCGTTGGCACTGAGATAGTCCAGTGGTTGTGTCGATGGACTGCCAATCCAGACACTGAGGTTCAAATCAGTTCAGACACATTTTCACTCTCAAAACGGCATTTTATGTGTAGTGAGCAATTGTCACCTGTAGAGTGCAGTATTGTGTTGGGCATCAGTGGAGAGAAGAGAGAAAAGGCAGTCCTGTGGCATAGTTCCATGGTTTTCAATGCATGGGCGTTACCCGCTGTGACGTCACACACAGGTTAGAGCATAGACAACTTAAATTCATGAAAAACACGTTCTTTTTATAAAATATAGGAATTTTTTTTGCAGGAATATATTTCAGATTGACATTGTCATGCAATTTTGATATCCACTATTTTTTTTTTTTAAACCCGGCATAAGGTCTTTGAGCAAAAATGCTAGCTTACATATTGTCCCTTAACACACACCAGACTCCTTCTAGGCAATGAAGCTGAAGTGTATTGCCTAAGAACACAACAACAGTTTGCCACTTTACAGCCAGAGATTATAGTAACGACATTACTATCACACACACAATCCTTATTAATAAGACATGTTAAAAGATGTATTGATAAGCCTAATAGTATCTCTGTGGAGTACTTTCTCTGCATTTTGACTAAATGATCACGTTTATAATCTGCTGAATAAATCAACATATTTGTGGATGAACCAACGATATCCCTTTAGCCCCATTACCCGAGCCTGGGAATCCCCATGCCACATTTATAGCTCCCAAATGCAGTCATAAACATATAGGAGCGGACACACGAGTACTTTAATGCGGAGGAAGCTGATTAACTGGAAAAGGCTGTTTGAGAGGGAATGTGGAGGCAAATGTACACAAATGTTGTAGATAGCAACGACTGAGCAATCAAAGAGCCAATCAGAAGCGGCGCCATCCTGACCCTGCTCGCACTACTCACTTATAGCAAAAGCCAAAATCGGGTGACAGAAGGCTTCTGATTGGTCAGTTGTTTGGGCTCAGTTCTGGATTTACAAAGAAAACATCACAATATAGATCAGTTACTGAGCTAGAGGAATTTACGTTTACAAAATTTGCCATTCACACTTCCCTATGGTGCTCCGTAGAGCTAGCAGGTTACATCTGTATACAGTGTATGCCTATACAAATACAACTTTTCACAAAGAAAACCGTATGATTTAAACACAAGGACAGAAAATAGCCCCAGACCATGGATTTTAAAAACTGAGTGTGAGACAAATTGTTACTGAGCAAGAGGAGTTTACTTTTTCAATGTAAGTCAATAGAAGCCGGAGCGAGTTAGAGCAAAAAATAAAAATTCATTTAGTCTGGTGTTAGCCATGGCTTCCCTTTCCCTTTATCTGCTTTGAGCTCCTCCACGGCCCTGCCCACAGCCCACCACCACTCATCTCACCCTGAATGTCCCTCCAGATGTCTGCAGTCAGCCACAGTTCCCCTGGAAGTGCCACTGAGGCCCTTAGAGCTCAATGTGGTCCCTCTGCAGACACCGCACACGGGACCGACCCAATGTTCCTGCTACAAATGTGACTATGCATCACTTGGAGCCCGAGAGGTCAAGATGGGGGATTGCGCCTGTCTGTCGGTTCAAAATAGCGTTAGCGTCCGGGGAGAATCATCGATGCGAGCTAATTGTGTTGGTTTGTTTGATCGAACGTTGAGTGAAACGTGATAGGGCAACAAGAACAACATTGGTATTTCAGCAGTGGCTAAGAAGGTAAGACTTAGGAATACAATTTTAAGTCAAAAAACACATTGGAACGATGGGTCAAATGCAGTAGACACATTTCTACACATGTATATTAAAGTATAGCCTCCCTTATACAACCGTTCCTGATACATAATCAACAAAAACTGACCTGGAGTTGTTTTGAGACCCATCCACGCTAATGTCAGCAACTTCTGGCACAAACATGTCACTCAATTATGTCTAAAAGGTGGTAGCATAGAAATACAGGCAGAAAGCATTCATACATGTTTCCCCATATATTTTCTACTTAAAATATTATTTCACATTACAAAACACAAAATGACAAAGTAAATAGTCTCATTATCAATTTTAAGGACCAAAAATAATGTGTAATATCGCTTCTTTTAAAGAGGTTGAACCAAAGTTCTTCTCAAAAATGCATCAAAACCTAAACGAGGACAGCCTGGAAAGGAGCAGTCCAGTCTTATTAACTCACATCCTAACTATCTAATGTGTTGGGCTCGCAAAGTTAGTTCGCATTAACAAGAGCTGGTTAGGGTTGCCAAAAGCCTTGTTTCGGATTGGCAGATGTCCACGCAATTCACGCCAACTCCACCACAGTCAGATTAGACAGCACTTCGAATGAACGTGAAACATGTGTCTGCTATCATCACAGCTGGCAACCCTGAAGATATTCTGATTAAATACTGTGGCGTACATCCACTTTAGAAGCCTTACAATAGGAGACGTTTGGTTACACTGAGAGCTCTATATGGGGTGGACAGCTGTCACGGCTTGAGGTTTGGATGAGCGCAAAATGTATAAATTGGGATCATAAAAACACATGCCTAAAGCTACAACCTGCAGAGAGGATTTTGTGTAGAATTTTGAAGCTGGATCGGGAGGTTGTGCAGTAGCAGTTATGGAAACAATTTATAAGGTAGTTTCTTTTTTCTTTTTCATGAGTGTTTTGTCTTTTTGGTGTCTGTCTGTGTTCATTGTTGTGAATAAAGAAATTATTATGATGATATTGTGATTTCTGTGTAGAACCAAAGATGCATTTATGGGAATTGAGAGAGAAGAGATGTCAAAATGGTTGGGTGATGTGGGAGGATAAACCAGGCCTTTCATTGAAAAACTGATTGATCATTTAATTTTCTTTCTTATGTTGAGTGTGGGACTTTACGTCAAACACGAGGTCGACAGGCCATTTATACCGATTAGAGATAACTCAAAAAGGCTTTTTAATTGTATGCACTTTATCGGGGTAGCAACAACCAAGTAACCTTTTAGTTTTAGAAGTGTAATGAGTAGGGCTGTCAAATGATAAAAATCGAGTTAATTACAGCTTAAATATTAATTAATTGGAATTAATCACATTTCTCACTATCAGCAAAATTATGCCATATTTTTCTGTAAATGGTTGTTTGAAAGGAAAGATGAATGACAACATAGTGTACATATGTACTGTATATTGTACTGTTTATTATAATGACAATAAATCCATATAAAATGGCATTAACATCATTAACATTCTAACTTTCTATAGTGACCCAGACCAAAGGATGAGGGACATTTCAAAAAAAGTCTGAAATGCAGAATATCATTAAATCAGTTTTATTTGCTCACGACAATTAACTTTTTGGCACAACCAACATGTACTGGTAGCGCAAGGGAAAACTTAGGTACCCCAGCTTTAATTTATCCAGTGCGATTCGGGAGAAGACACGGATGAAACACGGAGGAGACTGAGGCTCCATATTTCAGCTGTATGTGTATTTATTTCATGCACAGATTACGCAAAGACGAGCACACACAAAAAACAAGCAGAGAACAGTCCTGTGTGCGTGACGCTACGGCGGCGCCGTTCGCCGTGTTGTTGTCAGCAGCTCACACCGCTGGAGGTGGGAACCTCTGTCCAGAGCGGCCGCAGCTGCCCTGGGTCAGAACGCTGCGGCCACGCACTTTCTTTCTAAACTTGAATTCCCAGAAAACCTATCTGCTCTGTCGCCTTCTCACACACACACGTGTCCGCGGCATTCCGTAAATGCGTCAATTTGCTAATTTTTTTAACGCGATTAATGAAAAACATTCATTAACGTGGGTTAACGCGACAATTTTGACAGCCCTATTAATTTGTAATTATGTAAATTCTGTTTATTTACATAGCATAAAGGGAGAACATGCAAAACTCCACACAGAAAGACCAGGAGGTGGAATCAACCCTAGGACTTTTTCCTGTGAAACACAAGCTCTCACCGCTGTGCCACCTGCCGCCCAAATATTCAGCTCATGTACATTGTAGATCTTCCTAACTTTTTGAGAAATTAAGAATGCAAGTAACCATTGCGACATACTGTTAACTTGCTACCAGTTAGCCTTTCAATAACTTGTTTTTTTTCTGTGGTTGTTTCCCAATATTTCAAATTATATTCACCAGTTTGTGCAAGGTAAATTAGAATAAAACTGATGGTAAACTTTTCAGAATTACATTGACTTTAATGGGAGGAGTCAAAATGAGTTCTAGTAGTTTCATATTTCTGGGAGTCCTAGTGTTAACCTTTTAGAGATGGACTACTATAATCAATAATGCATAGAAAAAAATGATATAGGAAATATGTAGGGAGACAATTTAGGGAAGCAAAGTCACTATACAGAAAGTGCTCTGGCTTGTTAACCCCAATTTACCAAAAGCCCCAGTTAAAAATCCAAGGCTGTTTAATCGCTGGTGCTATGAGGATTGGGTGGCAGCTTGGATTGCCACTTTCCTGACCCAGAAATGTACTGATAAAAGGGATGACACTGAATAAACCAATGCCTCAAGTTCCCATCACTGGTTTACACACTGTTCATTTCAAAAAGGGCATCTTTCACAGTTGCAAATAAATGCCGCCTTAATGCTTGTCCAATTCATCACACCTGTTTACTGTCGGCTTGGAATATCGCCGCAACAACCAGAGCTCCCCCTCGCTCCGGTTATAAATGCGAGCTTCACCCATGACGCATTGCTATCAGCGCTAATCTCTTCACTTTCCAAATTGTTTTTCTTTGCGCTTTGGGAGGCGTTTGAGAGCTATCGCATTTGCCAACTTTTCCAATTGTTTCTCTCTCCCCTCCGCAACGCTGACGACTTAATGACTTGATCTCCTCTCAGGGTTGAAATACAGCCAGACGTCGAATATATGCAAATGTGTCTTTTTTTTTGGGGTTGGCTCGTCTGCGTTTTTGCCTGCAGAGCGCTGGCGTTTGGCCCCGTGTGTCTGGCTGGTGTCAGTGTTACATCTACATAAGATAAAGTGTGTGTGGGCGTTGGTGTGGAGGAGATCTGAGCTGGTGGCACCTGTATCGCACTCAAAAAGCCCCCGCGTCATGAATGATTCAAATATCTGCACTGTCTGTAGTTGTGCGTGGAACAACCAGAGCAGTAATTGACAATTATTTTCATGAGTTGGCCAGTCATTCTGTCTTTTAATCAATTAGTTGTTTGGATCTAGAGAGGGTCCTAAATATGGGATTTTTTAAAATACATTTAACCGAAATAAAGCTCAAGTGATGCACCCTGGAGATTGTCTTGAGTGAGAGAACCGGTGGCCCCCATCTCAGACTCAAGCCCTTTCCGCCAGGAGTCTTTCCTGTCCAAGACTACAACCTCAGTCCTGAATCTACAGCTGAGTCCTGAATCTACAGCCTCAGTTCTGGATCTAAATCCTTAGTTCCAGATCTACAGCCTGAGTCCTGGATCTACAGCCTCAGTTCATAAACACATGTTTTTTGAGTGGCTCCTTGCTGATGCAGGAGACAGTGATGATCCAGTACATTCTTGGACATTGATTACAGTTACGGAGAACCAAAGTATGGTCATCCTGCTCCCTTTGGACCAATGGCTCTTATGTGTTTGTTATTATTGCATTTCCTATCCTTGAACTGTGTTTGATATTCCGATCTGTGGTTGGCAAATTGACCACTTTCTAAAGTCCTCTGACAAACTGCTGCTGTGATTCAGGACTGTTCACAAATACATTGAATTCAATTCAGAAACGAGTAAGAATTATCCTTACAGCACTAAGGACATATTAGTACTCCTTGTCTTATACATAGAAACATTAGTATAAAGTATTTACTTGTTGTCCATCAGCACATCATGATGCCTCTTGCTCACACTAAAATAAAGCTGGGGTTCCCAATTTTTAAGTGATACAGAGATAACTATCTTTGCTCCAGTCTCTGGACCCCAGAGGATCATAAATTGTAGGGCACAGTTTGCACAGAAAGAACACCATCTTTTCTCAAGATGAACACAAGTTTTACCTGAAAGGCTATTATGGGGGTATAAAAGATGAGTTATTTATGGAACAACATCAGTTAATGCCTTTTTATAAATAATTCATGTCTGTTCCAACAAAAAGTCTTGTAAAAGATTCTTGTAAAAGTTCAATGTTGTACCAAATCAGACCCCAACAGTCTGTCTTTATGTTTATATAAACAGGTTTTGCATATTTGTGAGAAAGAGCCCTGTGTATCACTATTTGTCGCTTTGGGCTGAGTGAGGGTGGTCCATTCTTTTTCACTATTCTGTCTGATAGAGAGAATGCTCAACTGCAAGCTCAATGAAGCCCAATGGGGAAGTGCTCATGGACAAAGTTTTCCTCCTACTCACTCTGGCTCCTACTGACGTACATTGAAAAGTAAACTCTTCTAGCTCAGTAACCGCTTTTGTCACACTCACCCTTTTTGGGATTATGACGAGAGCTCTTTGACATCACCTTTGTAAATCCCAACATAGATGAATACTTTATTGATCCCCGTAGCTGAAATGTAGGTGTTCAGCAGCAGAAACACATGAATCCAAAGCATTGTAGCAACCTCCTTTGCAACACGTGTTGCCACTAGGGTTGGGAGATATTTTTTTTGTACCGGTATACCGGTATAAGTAAATTAAATGATAAGAAAATGCCTTATACCGGTGAAAACGATCATTTAACACTGAAAACAGCGAGCGGAAGACACGTTTGTGTGCGGCGCACTTTGATGACGCATCTGCGCGGCACGTGTAGCAGAGCGGCGTGCAGGGACAACAACAGAGCAGAGAGCAAACATGGGTGAGGGCGGCGGTGAAGACCATGGTGAAGACATGCAGATTGTAGAAGACATTGTGCCAAAACGCGGAGCTACCTCAAACATATGGGAGTAGTTTGGGAACTAGATAAAAAGAAGCAATTGTGTGAAACTATCGACAGTGGATCTAATGTTGTGAAAGCAGCTGCCCTGAACAACTGGACTCTCTCTCTCTCTCTCTCTCTCATAGTGCCATTGGTAAGCTTTATTTACTGTTTACTGTCATTCATTTTACTTCAATGCATGTGTTTGTCTACATTGCAATATAATTACAAATAAGTTATAATTACATAATTATAGAAACGCAAAAGGATACAAAAAATATATACAGTATTTGATCATTTTGACTATATTGGGATTAGGAAACATAAGCCAAAGTGATCAAATAATTATTTGATAATGCTACACTTTTTATATTACAAAGGACAAACTTTTATATATTTTACAAATTACAAATGTTCACCTTTATTACATGTTACCTGCAATTTTCAGTATGTACAAAACAGAATTCTCTACAATTCAGTTTTGTTAATACGTTTTATATACAATAGCTGTATTTCACATTTTACTGCCAATAAATCAGTAAATGCACTTTGAGGCAAGTGTGTTTAAAATTATCAGTGCTACTTTGTTAGCTCAAAGCTAACAAAGGTCGGGATAAATGCCCATATAAGGAAGTCTCCAGCTAGCTCATGTTCAAATCATCCTCTTCCGCATTAAGGCTAACACTATGGTGATATACAGTCTATGGATAGGATTCAATTCCATTTATTTTTGTAGTTAAAGGACTTCTCTAAGTTGTTGATTTGCCAGCACAGATCAGAGAATCAGTTCAAACACAAGAAATGCAATATTAAAAAAAACACATTGGTCTATAAGGGGCAGATGACCAATGAGCATTAATATGAATAAATGTCATTGAAGGTTGAGTATCCTGGATTATCATCACTGTCATTAGACGCTAGAACCAAAATGTTTAATCATGAGGAGCTCCTTAGATGGATTTGATCATTCCCTTTGTTGTGGTTTAAATGTTAGGTACAGTATACCTAACCACATTGTTAATAGGTATAGGTAGCAACTAGAATTTCGATTTCAAAGTCGGCTATAATCCAAACTGACGCTGGTTCAGTTCCCTTTAGCGTCCCTGTGTCTCTCCGTAAAATAAGTGGAAGTTGAATCCTCCACTGCATATGGCACCTGCATGTTTTGTGTGACATTTAGCAGAGAATGGAGCAGGTTTAATTAGGGAACTCATCTCCGTTCGAGCCGCCTTTATTGGGAGCTCATCGGGGATCAGCGAGAGGCGTGGACACCTGCTGACGCCAATCTATATTCACTCGCTTTCTACGGGAGACAAGGCCACAGCCGAGGAGCATTCTCACACAGGAAGCTGGAGGACGGCTAAGAGAAAGGAGGCAAGAAAGGACAATAACCGGATCGGGAAAAATGGACGCTAATAATTCATGCTAATAATAACGCCACACCTTCTTCTAAATGATCAGAATAATGTGCCATTCTTCTGTGCTGATTATTGACTAGTTACTAGTGATGTGCGATTCGTGAACGAATCGTTCAAAACTCGAGATTCACTTTACTGACTCGGGAGTCGTGATTCCCCGCCTCCATTAACTCGTTCACTAACTCGTCCGCCCACCACTTTCTAAACTGCGACCCCAAGACTGCGTTTTCTACTAGCCACAATGAATGACACTCTAATATTACGTGTGTGACTGTGTGTGTGTGTGTACTGTAGCTCGTTTGAGCACAGAAACCAAAAGCTTATCGTTTACAACCATCTACTTCACCGTAACGTCCTCCTTCCTGCCTGCCCGCGCCTGCTAGTACGAGCCGTACGAGCAGTGAACGACTCACTGTGGTTCTGGATCAGCCCCTTCCCGCTCCCCTTCGAGTCGTTCAGCTCTGAACGAATCGTTCATCTGATCTGACTCACTCACTCACTCAGCATCAAGCGAGTCGAAACAACAGGACAGGACACCGACTCGTCTCGTAACTCTCGTTCTCTAACTGGGTTAAAAAAAGTAGTTTCTTTTGCCCCATCTGACAAAAAATAATAACCCTCTACATGTATTATGTGAGGTAGATTGAAAAATATAATTGGCTATTTATTAAGTTATTTGTTCAGCTGTGTTTCTCTCGTCGGACAACAGGAGTTCCGCCTCGAACATTATTGGCGTTACAATGATTGTCATCAATAAAAAATGAATGTGTGAAAAATATCAAAGTTGTTTGTATTTATTATTTATATAATATAATTGTTATGACCTTTTTTTTTTTACCAGGAATGTAGGTTTTAACACGGAATACATTTATGTAACACCACATTTTTGGCGGAAAGTTTTAAATATTTTTATAGAAAATGGATAGTAGCCGCAGAAGAAGCGATATTTGGATGCACTTTGAAATAACAGGCCCATCACGAGCAAAATGTCAACTCTGCAAGGTTGTTTTATCATTTCAAGGAGGGACCACATCAAATATGAGACGGCATTTAGCCAGCATTGTTATTGTATTTCTTGTATTGTGACAGCCCCTCGCTTGGAATGTTGTTGCTGCTTTGTTCACAATTTTACTGTTGAATTGTTAAATTTAAAGAGTTTATATTTTGTCAAATTAGTTTACATATTTGTTATTGTTACCATTTATCAAATTTTAATAAATGTTTTGATTGTAAATTGCCATTTTAGCATTATTTTGTGTTCATGTATGTTTTTTTCTGAACAACTGAATCACTGAATCAAATGACTCAAAACACCCGATTCACTTTGGTGAGTGATTCACTTTAACTCGAGTCAGTAAAATGAATCGAACTTTACATCACTACTAGTTACTTTACCTGCTGCTATTAAAATCTGTGTCTGTTTGACATGTCTGTTGCAGGGTTTAATATCTTATTATTCTATATTTGTATTATCTAATATCTTTTGACTTTAATATTGAATTACTTTTAAATGTGCTGAAAAACGGCAGCAAGTCCTAAGTAGCTCTGAAAACTTGCTTTACAATTTCCATTTTTATTTCGTTTTTCAACTTGAGATGTTGCTGCAGTACAGTGTTTATGGTTTTACACTGGTCCAGACTAGAGCAGAGAGGATTCATGGTCCGAACCAAGCGGATCAAGTGAAAATCCACTGGAAGAATGCTAACTTTTTTTTTAATGCTAATGAAGCATTTAGCATTTTACTTCGGACTAGAGCAGAGAAAATAGTCCGAACCAAGCGGCTACTCCACCTTTTGACCTGTCCTTCTCCACCCAGAGGCTACTCCACCTCTGCTGCCGTGACCTGAAAGGCTGTTTCTGACTATTACTATTGTCAGCTTTTTTGAATGATACATTTTTATTTTTGGTATTGCTGCTGCTGGACAGCTGAATTTCTCCTACGGGGATCAATAAAGTATCTATCTATCTATCTATCTTAAATAATTGATCTTGTTTGATGTGTGCATAACCTGAATGCTCTTATTTCTCTGCTGGGTCCACCAATCTTTCTCTTAATCGTAGTGTTGTTACAGGTTAAATTAAAAAAGGAGCCATACTGTAAATGCAGGACAGATAATAAACCGTAATCTAATCAAAATAAATCCAAGGAAAAATTTCAGAGCTGTAAACAACCCAGACACAAACATGGAAGAGACAATGGACAATTGTCAAGTGGGGAACAGCACAAGGTATAACTTCAAACAGGGGCAAACAATCAACAGGACAGATGGGAACTTAACCTACAAGAGAACCGAGATAAAACAAAAAATATAACCAACCAAAATAATCAAAAACTCCAAAAGCATGACAAATCTTCCACTAAACTGCAACTGAAATCCAACAACAACCAGAGATCACCTCGTCTGTATTTCTCGCTACACTTTTCCCAGTTCTATTTCGTCGAAAAAAACGCTCCAAGATCAGGAGCAGTGACCCCCAGTTCCCCGCTGTCCCAGAACCAATAAACTCCCAAGCATTCGTCTGTAGCTTTCAAATACCAACAGGCAGCAGCAGCAGCAGCAGCAGCAGTAGTCGCAGCAGTAGTTGTGGCGGCTTGATTTCCAGGTCTTGACTGAGCAAGACAAAGGCAAGCAGACTTTGAGAAGAGATGTAAGGAATGGGACTAGAAGGAGCCGGGTCACACAGGGGCCGGTCTGAGTCAGCGCTGTGTGGACCATTCAGAAAAAGGTACAATAAGAAATGCAACCGATGAAGCACACAAGGTTTCCCTCTGAGGTTAATGGGAAAAAATGCATTATACAGATGGAAAAAGGCAGCAGTAAAGAATTCAGAGTTTCTGGACCAGGAAATTGTGGCTAATATATTTTTTTACATAGAATTGAGGTAGGTATAGGAACAACGCATGGCTTAGCTGTGAATGTGTACTATTACATTATTAGTGTTTGACTTGGTAGAATATTTATTATGACGTTTGGCGAGTTGTTCAGTGTGAAAGTATGTATTTTGCAGTAAATATAGGTGAAACTCTGAAAAAAAAGAAGATCGTTCGAGAGTTGATTTATTTCTGTAATTTTGCAGTTTGAAAGTTAGGTTCCCCCCCTTTAAAAATCCTGCTTTAAATATCACTTAGAGGCTTTTCTTGTTGAATATTAAACATTACTCAGATATTCTTTGGGAGACAAATGCTGAAGTATACATCAATCGTTGTTGACAAAACCAACAAAAGTCCAACACTAAAATGAATCCTTGAGGAAATCTTTTATCGGAGCTCTTTTAATCCTGAGTAAATTGTGGCCGTTTGGTTTGTGCCCAAACAGTGACAGATGCTGCGGTGATTTTAATTAAAAGTGTTTTGGTTGGAGGCGAGCTGCAGCTGTGGGCGAATAAAACGCAAACTATGCAGAAGACGGTTGGATCAGGACAAAGAGATTGCACACAGAGACACCTCCATCACAATGGATCAATACTTTAACCCTCGTTGGGTCTTCGGATCGTTGAATCTTCAAAATGAAATTGTGTCGCCCTAAAAACACAACAGTAGTTGTCTCTGAGAACTTTACAAAGTTGATTCGCCAACACATATCAGAGAATCAAACGGTTCAAACACAGGAAATGCAATGATCCTCGGCCCATAGGGAGTGGGTTTAATAAGATGATAAACAAAAGTCCAAGGTAAAACTAAACTCAATAATCCAACACAGGAAACAGTAATACAGACTGACAATGGACCAGCAAAACATGGGGAAGAGCACAGGTACATATAGACAGAGACACAGGTGAAGACATTAGGGCAGGGTAGACAAATAACACAGAGGAACAGGACATACAACAAGAGCAAAACCACAGAACTAAAGTCAAAATAAAACAAAGTACAAAATAGCTAAAAATCCACAACATGACACCTAATGAACAAAGTGAGACACCTCAGGGAGACCCACATTGAGGGTGGGATCCACTCTGTAGAACGGGGCCAGGCTGTGCAGAATTCACAGTTCAGATGCAGAAAAAGTTTTGCAGGAGCACGATCAATCTCCTGGGGAACCATGTTTTATGTTTGACTGCATCTGACCCATCCTTCATTGCCACTAGGGCCTCCTGGAACCCATCTCCAGTTGATGCTTGACTTGGTCAGAACTTCCAGACTTTGTCCTTGTGCACATGTTTTTAGTGGTACAGGAAAGCGGAGCAAGCCGGAGGAAACATACGCAGACACAGGCAAACTCCACTCCACTCAGAACAGGCTTTGTTCCCACCTGCATCTACCTGTATGCTGAGAAGAGATACTGCTAACCACTCAGCCACTCTAACGCTTCTGAGTGACTCCTGCGTCTCTGTGTTACAAATTAGATGTTAAAAAAGCAAAAATAGCTCCATCTTCAGCGACAGCAGGACAGGGATCGAAGCCGTTAATGTCTCCAATATTCCCCAGTCCGCCTATCGACCCTGAGACTCTCTTTGACTCTCTGCAGTCGATGCGAAAGCGAGTCTGAACACCCACAACGTCCTCCAGAGACATCCATACATGAAAGCATCTTTTATCGATCTTAAAACACTGGTCTACAAGCGGAGGGGGCAAGTTTTGAGATCCATTCAGGCTAACATCAGGGACTTCTGGCACAAACTACAATGAATAAACAAATAAGTGAATACAGTTAAAATCTGATATCTCTGCAATCCCTGGAACAAGCCGCATAAAACTGAAACTGTCTCAGTCCCACATATTCATTGTCAGCACATATGAACTATGGTCTCTCTCTCAAGTCTCTCTCTCAAGTCTCTCGCTAGTCTTTTTCTCTGGTCTCTCTTTCTGGTCTCTCTCTCAAGTCTCTCTGTTCGTTTTCTCTAGTCTCTCTCTCTGGTCTCTCTCTCTGGTCTCTCTCTGGTCTCTCTCTGGTCTCTCTCTCTGGTCTCTCTCGCTGGTCTCTCTCTCTAGTCTCTCTTTCTGGTCTCTCTCAAGTCTCTCTCAGGTCTCTCTCTCTGGTCTCTCTCTCTGGTCTCTCTCTGGTCTCTCTCGCTGGTCTCTCTCTCTGGTCTCTCTCTCTGATCTCTCTCTCTGGTCTCTCTCTCAGGTCTCTTTCTGGTCTCTCTCTGGTCTCTCTCTGGTCTCTTTCTGGTATCTCTGGTCTTATTTATTTTTCAATGAAAAAAAAACAGTTGCACCTGTGAAATACTGAAATAGAATTCTAGAACATGGCCGCAGCCAATCAATTCCTTGCGGTTAGCTACGCATCTAATAGTAAATACATCATGTTTATTCATATGGCCCAGACCACACACATAGAAACTTCACTATTGGGTTAATATCATTCACTCCACACACGGTGACAACAGAAGCAAGACACCGAACACCTGGAAACTTCTTTTCAAAATGATATCGGAGTATTTCCACCTGTTTTAGATTTCAATTTTAGATTGCCTGAATCTCTGACACGGTCCACCGCAGAGATAGAAGCTACACTACAGATCCGGTGGGTTATTTGGAGAAAA